ATCATGACTGTTTTCTGCATCATACTTGTCTTAGCATTAGGAAGCAGGAACCTTCTAGCCATAGCATATTGTGTTTGATAGTTGTTAAACAAAGAGTGACAGTAACCTTGAATTTAATGTTTGGTGGTCGTGTCTAAAGTACATTTCTAACTTAATTCAGTGCAAAGGTAGATCTCTGATGAACAGTTAGCCAACTCAAACTCATGCATATTCATTACATTAGTTCTCTAAGAGCACTGTAGAGCACAATGTGCCACTTTGTTTTGTGCTCCTTGTAATTAGGGCTGCAACAACTAATCAATATAATCGAAAAATAGTTGGCAATTAATTTAGTCATTAGTTAGGTCTGTTACAATGCACGGCAGTAACGGCACACACTGTGGCAGCGTCTCCTGGAGTGGGGGCAGTAAACCAGCCAATCCTGTGCCTTGTGTCGCTCCCCCTCTCCTCTCAGGAATAAATGTTTGCCTGAGACGAAAGCCGCTAATGATACAGAGGAGAAAAGTCGTTAAAAGTGTGAGAACAAGTCTTCCAAGAAGACTGTTAGCTGCAAACTGTGTAAAGCTGATCTCACAATGAGAAGCACCACAGCATCACTGGTGGCATAAAACTGAGAAAACATGTTGGAGGCTTCTGCTTCTTTCTCATCTTCTTCTCTCTGTTTAATGGAGGATCGGTAACAACTTGAAGTTCAAACTTCAGTGATGTTGTGCTGCTCTTTCATGTGAAATCAGCTATACACAGCTTTTCTTTCAGGTTTTAATGTAAAATGTTGACACATTTTTAAAGACTGGACATTGAAATTTTCTGTTTAATTTATGTGTGAATTCCCCATTTCCTTAAATTGTGTTGGATTTGGCTGCAACTCTGTTCACCCCTAAAACTCTAAAAGTGTTTTGTGAACACAAACACTTTACCCACCCCTCCATCGGCATAGTGGTGACTAAATAGATGAGTGAATTTTCAGTTTAGAATTTTCACTTCCGTGGGCCGGAAGTAGCCCACGTTTTTTTCTGTGATGAAGATAAAGAAAACCCCTCCATCTTGAGGGTTTCCACAGCACAGAACCACTACAAACTAGGCACCCTCAGCCCTTAACCCTCAACAAGAGTAAGGAAAAACTACCAAAAAAACATTTTATCAGGTGAAAAGAACATAGAAACCTCAGAGAGAGTAAAATGTTAGGGGCCCCTCTCCCAGGATGGACAGAAGTGGATTAGATGCCACATGTAATGGGAACGTCAGAAACATAAAGAGTAATTACAGCATTGGTTAGAGTAAATAGTTTGTAGCATGATGGCACATCTGTATCAGATAACACTCTGACACTATTTGGTTGTCATTTATCTCAGCTACATACACAAATAGACTTCTTATCAATATGTTTATTAAATCAGTGTCAGGAAAACAAATATGCACCACTCACCCATGAATGAATTCAGTCTTTCTTCTGAAACTATTCAAATGATCACCAATGATCAAATCATCGTCACGTTTCATTAAGTCATATAATGGAGAATTAAACCCTTAATAAAAACATTCATCTATAATTTGAGCTATAATGTTTTGAAACTGTTACAATCTTGTGTATAAATAAGTGCTGTTGTTAAATGTGGATGTTCAGTTATATGATATATTTAAATTACATGTACGATAACATTTCAGCAACTTCATATCTACTTTTTTTTCATATTCCTCTAAGCGCAAGTGAGTACCAGAGAAAATATGTTGATGATGAACAACAAGTAAACTTTGGCTTTAAAAGGAACAACCACAGTCATGGTCCCGCATAAAATCTTATGATGTGATCATCATTCATCACAGCTGGTTGTTCATTTTTGACCAGCCATGACAGCGTAACTGTCTCTGAAGCTGGCCAGCATCTTCTGCCCCAGTGTCCAGTCCAGAGCCACATGGCCTGGAGCCGTGTTCTAAAATGATCAGCAGTCACGCACTTTCCATCTCCAGGAGGGAAAACAACTTGCCGACTGAATTTGAACAAGGAGAACAAGGTGGATGTTCTGTGTGATGGAGCACCCATCACACACATGATAACAGCTTTCCAAAGACTTGCATAACAACAATAAACCTCAGCAGTGAACAAGTCTGTCAGTAAAGAAATCCATGGGTCAGAACTCCAGTCTTTAAAACATGTTGCCTGCGGGCTGACAGTGGACTATCTTGACATTTATATTCCTAATTAAATTGGTTGGTTGTTCAATTCAATGCCCCTCAAGCAATGAACATAAAATATGGCAAGCAGAGACAGGACATTGACAGATGCAGGTTCTGTATTGAAACTAGAACAGTGGCTGTTGTTAACCTGCTTGTTTGTAATTGGCTGTTTGCTTTGCCTGTGGCGATGCTGTGCAGTTTTCTTTCTCAAAATGTAAAAGTGACCTGTGATTAACCAGATTCTGTTTTTTTGCACTGTCCATGTTTTTCATACGCTAAGACCAGTTTGAGCCTACAACCCATGGAGTGAGGACATTTTGGGAAAGTGAGAACATTTTGGCTGGTCCTCACTTTGTGACACCCCCTTTAATGGTCTGTTTGGGGGTTAAGACTTGGTTTTAGGGTTAGAATTAGGGAATTAGGGTTAGGTTAAGAGTTAGAGTTAGGCATTTCATTTGGAGGGTTAGGGTGAGAGGCTAGGGACTGTATTATGGCAGTGAGTGTCCTCACTAAGATAGATAGAGGTGTGTGTGTGTGTGTGTGT